GCCTGCAGACAGAGACACATGAACGCACCATCTGTATATCAATCAAATCACGCGCCTACCTTCCGTGGAACATCATTCGCTTGCTCGCGGAGGTGGTGTGCGAAAGTGGCAGTTTGACGTGCGTGTCCTGTGCATTGGCACAGAAGCATGAAGGACATTCAGACTCACGCTGCTCTGCTCTCCTTCCGTACATTCACTGGGATACTCCATTCGGCGCATCTGTACACACATACACATACACGGCTTACTTATGAAGGGGAGAAAGAAAAGCTTGTAAGTCGTGATATATCACCTTTGTGTGTCTCTGTGTCTCCCGCTGGATCATTTTTCCTTCATTGCCTCACGGACACAATGTCCTGGACCAAGGCGCAGCATTGACACATCATCCGCGCACCAGGAAGATTGTTTGCGGGTCGTGTATACATAGGCATATGCATACCTTTGTCAGTACAAGTGTCAGTGGCCTGGTCACAAGATGACATCGGTGGAAACGGAAACTCTCCATGTGCTGAATTGATCGTACGCACAATCAACGGCACACCACACGAAGAGGGGCATGTGCGAGTTCTGGCGATACACATCCGCTGTCTGTCCGTACTGTGAGAACCGCCATCTGGGTCCGCTGCACACATACACAAAGAGAGACATGAAAAAGAGGAATGCCTCCCGTGTCAGTGCGTGCAGATGACCTGTGTGCCTCTGTGCGTCTCTGGCAGATGACCAGGCCTGAGATGTACGTAGGGTATGCAGGGGAGAGAAAATGAGGTCGCGAACAGCATGTATGTGTTTATAGAATGGATGGGCAGGGAGCCAGTCAACCAACCAGCCAGACCCCAGCCAGCCAGTGCCGTGGCATCTGGCGGCGGAAGTCACTGTGTGGTGAGCCAGTTGACCGCCCTCCCCCTTATCCCCGCCCCCACTCACCCGGTCAGCCTAACCGATCCACTGCACACCTACAATCGAGGCAGCTTGTGTGTGTGAGTGGGTCGGTCCCTAGCGCACTAACACTCTGTCGCCAGCCAGTTGCTTGCTATACCAGTAAACCCATTTTCTGCGTTAGACAGTGTGTTGATAAATCATGGCCCTAAGCAGCAGGACAAACCCCGCACTACATGCCCCCGTACGCCTTTTCGTGCAGCGAGCACACGATGCCGCACGACTACGCGCGCATACATATGTAAGTGCAGGCGAGCACACAAAACCAACACAAACACCACCGACGATCACGCATTCAACCAACCACAAAAACCAACCCGCCACCACGGCAACGAAAAAGAAACACGACTACGTGCATACGTGCAGGCGAGCACACTTACCACCACCAACAGGTACCACACGCACACATGCATCACGACACACGACACACAAAAAATGACAAGTGCACGACTACCTGCACACGGCCCACCACCACCCGTGCAAGCGAGCACACGCCAACGACAAGGAACGACAACTGCACGACAACGCGCATACAAAGAACCAACACCAGCACATACACATGCCTTTTGCACGAGACACGAGTTGAAAAATGCACACAACAGAAGCACATACACAGGAAACAGACCTCAGAGGACACACACATCGGCGTGGCGTGGCGTGCGTGAATCATTCTTCATTGATCGATCGCAGACAGGTGTGCGCTGATAGGCTTTCACCTTCTTAGCGTGCTGAATACCATCTGGGAAGCCTTGGCTGACGCCTCACCTCAGTGACAGCGTGCAAGAGAGCAAAGCCAGCTGCTAAATGATGGACGTCGGTCGCTGCATCCCGCGGCGCCAACAGTCAAGCTGCAGGGATGGGCACTGCCGAGTGCAAGGCTGGCGGTGCGTGTGCGTGTTTTGTGTGCCTCCCACCTGAGGTCTCTGTCTCTCTGCACCTACCTGTCTGAGGTCTCCGTAAGCATACATCGCGACCAGATCGACATACGCGCTGTACTGCTCAACGTCGAAGGAAGGCCTCTTGGCAGACACCTCACGATATAGGAGGAATGGCATCGAGAGAGAGTATGGAAAGAGACTGCCACAGAGATCTGATCTCGTCTGTATAAGTACCTTGACGGCGACAGCCTTGAGGAAGGAGTTGGCGTAGACCGTCACCTTTCTGGTCAGTGTCTTGAACTCATCAAACATCCCTAGCCAGGCGTCGGTCAGGTCGACCTCCCTCTCCCTCGTATGGAGGATGGCCCGATACTCCCTGACAAACAGCATGTTGACCGCCTCACTCGACCCGCCATACACCGGCACCCCAAGGCTGGGCGGCGTCATCTGCCGTAGAGTGGGGAATACCACCATCGACTCCCCCTTTGTGACCAGAGATGCCGCGCCATATGGCTTGTATGAGGGAACGAATGGCATGGCCGCTGGGGCCTTGGGGATGGCGGGCTGCAGGTAGCCCCAGGGCAGCAGGGGCGGCAGCAAGGGCAGCTTGACGAAAGCGTCACCGTGCTGCTTGGCCGCCTCGACAGCCTCCTTGCTCATCTTGACAATGAGCTGCTCGGATTTCGTGAGCAGGGCGGCTGGGGGGATGACTGTCTGCGATTTGCCTCACTTGTTGAAAAAGTCGAACTTGACACCGACAACTCCTGTCGTCTTGACATTGTCGAGAAACATTGTGAGGTCGGCGTAGTCATCCGCTGTATCCTCGACCCCGGCACAGTCCTCCAACAGCATGACCCCGACCCCCTTCTCGCGTCCATAGTCGCAGACCGCCTTCATCGTGGCCCACTTGTCAGGCCAGTCCGCCCAGCCGTCGTCGATCGTCGTGTATTCGAAGCCCAGGCCGGCCGCACCGTCAATGTACTGGTTCTCTTCCTCTGGCATGCCCGTGTTATAGCGCCACCATCGCCACACGGAGCGACCTGGCTTGGCGTAGGATAGGTAAGAAGTAGTAAGAAGGGAAGAGGTCGGGGTCGGGTGCGGGGTTCAGCGACGCGATGACGTCACTGTTGATCAGCTCGTCGAGTGTGCGGGCGAGGAGGATGACGCGCCATGGGGTGGGAAGTGGGAGGGAAAGAGTGACAGTCTCATCGAGATCGGCACGAAATGTGTTGTTGTCGGGGAGAACCGTATAGCGCATCCCCGGGTATTCATACAGGGCAGCTTCGGTCAGCAGCCGATAGGGGAAAGGGCCGGCACCCGCCGAGACATCATGGAAGATGAGCGGTGCGCCGTACAAGGGCCCTCTACTCCTCGGGCAAGACGAGAGAGAGCTGGCCGGAGCCGTCCGAAAGACGCCGGCGTACGAGAGCAACTCATAATGGCTGAGTTTGTCGCGTTCGAAAAACCACGCCGCATCGTCGGCCGTGAAGGGGAAGAAAAAGTGTGAAGTCTCCTGAATCACATGGCGGGGCTCGTATGTCGCGTTGATTGCGGGCAGAGAGTAGCGGAATGAGAGGCCATCAGGGAAGAGGCGGAAGTGGAGGTGCCACACACGCGTGGTTGGGCGATGGCGGAGGGCGAATGAGACGTGGCTGTAGTGGGACACCGCCTTTTCTTGTACATACATGTAAATTCGCCGTTGGCGTTGACAGCCTGATTGGTTCTCAACAGTTGGTCGGATGGTCAGCCTGCGGAAGGCAGCGCTGCCTGTCCGCCTTGCCTGCTTGTTCACTCCTCTGTTGAGTCTGACGCTGGTCGGTCTCTGGAGGCCGCCTGAACCCGAGGTCTCTGGCGTTGCGTTGCAGGAGCTCAATGCCACTCAGCTACTCGGCAGCCTGCGTGGCGAGGTCCTACTTAAGGACAGAGGGGCCCGCCAGAACTGCACCTTGCAGCAGCCATCTATTCCTCGCCAGGTAACGCACAAGCGACCACCCGATGATGATGCGACTCGGAGAGGTGACTTGGTCACTTGTTTGGCGGTCTTGTTGTCGGCTGTAGGTGTTCTTGACGACCCGCGACAAAGACTACATGATGCACTGGGAGCGGGAGAATCTGGCCAAGTGTGAGAGAGTCAATCCCGGCTGGACCTTTCATCTGTTTGGCGACAGCGAGATCCATTCGTATGTGAAAGAGACGTTCCCAGAGCTGCTGGGTGTATGGAGCTACCTCAAGAATACCATCGAGCAGAAGGTATGGGCGTCCATTCATTGAGTGATTGATTGTGTAGCTTGGGTGCAGCCGCCTGGCATGTTGTTCTGCAGGACCTGTGGTCTTATCTCATCGTGTACGACCGCGGTGGCCTCTTCATCGACACGGACATTGACTGTCGGCGGCCCATGGACGAGCTGATCGATGAGGGCAAGACGAGAGGTGAGGATTGTCATACAATTTAGCTGACGCGTGAAAGAGCGCGTCAAGGATTCTTTCTGCCTCGCGTGGGTTTGTGTCTGTCTGTACAGGATTGATTGGTGTGGAGAAGGCTGACCAAAGTTACCTGCAGTTTGCACAAGTAGGCCGGAACAGGCTGCGGTACACGAAAGTCTTCTGATGCGTTTGCAGTGGAGCTTTGCCTTCGCACCTCGACACACGATACCGTTGCTGACCATCAACAAGATACGAGCCCAAGTGGAAGAGATCAAGGCCGCCGGCTCCTCAGACAAAGATGCCGTCTTTCTCACTGGGCCGGTCGTGTGGACAGATGCTATCTTGGAGTACATGTACACATTCGGTCAGCGAAACACCTCATTGAGACGGTGTGCGTCTGACGATGGATGCACTTTTGCTGCGGGTGCAGGTATGGGGAAAAAGACGATCATCGAGGGACATTCATTTCAGCCTCCGCGGGATCACCAGGTTGGTGACGTCCGCCTGCTGAACGTCAACGCATTCGCGCCGATGCAGCCCCACTCCAGTGCGACGTGCAACTGCAGCCACCCCGACATCTACCTCATTCACCAATGGAGTGGCCGTTGGAAAAACCCACAGTATCGGTGGTACACTGCGGACGGGAAGCCGCCGATCGGCAAGACGCTTCCCGTGAATGCAATGAGGGGTGATTGGAGACCGGTGTGCTTCACGGAATGACGGAGGGGTAATTGCTGACCCACACAGCACTGGCATGCTTGCTGCTGCTGGAGAGCTGAGAGGAGGGGCGCCTTGGTCAGCTCATGTGTCAGCGGCAGGAAGGAAGCCGTTTAGTGCACGTCATATTAAGTGATTGATGCTGTCTGTTTATGACATCCGTGTGTGTGTATGTGTGTGTGTGCGCTCTGTCGATGTGCGTGTTAGAGCTCTGAAGGCGACATCTAGACATGCAGACAGAGGGGAGCGACACCATTTGTTGGCAACTTTATGCCCGTGTGCGTGAGACACATTTCATGACGAGGAGAGACACTTGCAGTCCCGCTATGTACACGCAGCCATTTGCACAACACGTACACCAAGCCAGACACACAGACAGGCGCATCCTCTATACGCGCAATGACGTCAGTAGTTGGTGTGCTGCCTCGATCTGATCCACAGCTGCAGATTGACACCGCTAAACACAGTCACAAACGACCCCCACATGAACCACACGCCCTCACGCGAGCCGAACAGGCGAGATATGAACAGCTTCAGGCCCTCCAAGCCTGCAGACACAACAGCAGAGGCATCAACACAGACACAGACACACACAGGGCATCTGCACGTGTGTCTTCAGCGTCTCTGACCGAACGAGAAGCCCACGAGATTGGCGGCGATGAGCAGAAACACGTTGAACGACCCCCCGACCGCGATCACATACCGAAACCAACTGACACACACGGAGAGACAGCCACATGACAATACGCGAATACGCACATGAGCACATGTGTGCCAGCCCTTTCTCACTTGTTCGTCTGCATGGGTGCGATGGGTTTAGTGGCGGCGAGCATGCGTACGAGGATCTCTGGTGCGATGATGACGCACACGAGTGCCGCCCAGCTCAAGAGCCGCCACCGCACGTCGTGCCATACGGCCACGTACAGGAATACCACCCACACATTGACCAGCTTGTAGGCCGAGCCTCCCAAAGGGAAGTATATGTACCGCAGCAACCACTGGTTGAAGGCCCGGTGCCAGCTGCGCCAAAATTGCTCTGTGCTGCACACACACACACACACACACACACATATATATACACACACACAGAGACGACCAAGGGTGTCTGTCGGTGAGTCAGTCACACGAGACACAGGCACCTGTAGTTGTTGTATACGCATCTGTTCATGTTCTCCGGGCATTCCACCCCATCGCACAGCGCCCACAGGAGGAAGTAGCGCCAGATGAGCAGGAACTTCATCCAGATGAAGAACAGCGTCCAGAAGGCACAGAGGCCCAACTCAGCCACGCTCAGCCTCCGCCAGAACCAGTCGTACACACTCGACGCGATCGCATTCGCATAGTTGAAGTGCAGAAAGACCTCGAAACACAGCAAGTTCCCCAGCCAACGAAGCCCATACAGCCCGATTTGCATCGGTGAGTAGGCGACCTGCGGCGTGTTGACGTGCATGTGTGACCTCCATGCGTTGAAAGACGCAGTAGGCCCTGCAAGGTAGAGAGGCGGGTACAGCACATACGAGAGGTACGCGAGTGTCGAGTAGGCGGCCATCGGCTGGTGGGTCTCCTGCCGATATCGGTAAGACAGGAACTCATCTCTCCCGTGCAATGGCGACTTCCTGCGCGTGACGGCCCAGTAGAGGTCCATGTTGAACGATATCAGCTTCAGCGTCACCATGGGGAAGTGCACATGCCACCGAGACACGCCGATGAAGGGCTCCTGGTCCAGCGCACCGAGCCGCGGATGGATCCACTCAAATCGGTAGCCGGCGAAGTAGTCATTGGTCAGGAGGATGGTCACATTGAATAGCCATGTGAGGGCGGGGCCGAGTGAGTGGCCTGCCGCACACAGGCGGCTGATGCAGAAGTTGACCAGCACCAGGGAGAGCAGCCAGAAGGTGCCGCAACCATGCAGATAGCACACATACACCATCCCAAACAGCAGGTGGTAGGCAAGAAGGGGCGCGTCCCTCTCCGCACCGCCATCATCACCACCCTCCTCCCGAGTCGATGCCAGATAGACCCTCAGCAGCCGGCTGCCGCCGACGTGTGCCATGGCCCCGAGAGTGAGAATGGGCAGTGCATTGCGGATTCCCTCCCACTGGAAGTCGTACATGTCGATGTGCCGCTGGCCTATCCAGCCGGGCAGTATGCCCAGGTCATCCAGCTGCCACAGCTCCAGCTTGTTGGAGTAGCTGTAGCCAATCCAGCACACATAAGGGAATGCCGCGGCTATGACGCTGCCGTAGAGGAGCAGCTCGTACCAAGGCCAGCGGTAGCTCTTCAGCAATGGTGGAGCCCCTGGTCGTGCCGTCTTATTGCCACTGCCCATCTCTTCTGCAGGCATGACGCCCATCTCTACTTCAGCGATATCGATGGAAGATCTCAAATTCTGTTGGTGGCATTGGGACTGCGGCATTTGAGTCCACCTATCAGCCGCTTCGAAATCGGCTCTCTTTCCCTTCCGATCCCACCAAAGCGCGAGCTAAGAACAAAGAGAGAAGAGGGGAATGCTATGGGACCTGTCCCATGCTCTCGCCATCATCGTCTTTGTGGTGTCGTCGATTGAACAATCAACCAGCACCTGGTCCAAGAGAAGCACTGCCAGGCTCTGTTTCGAAGGCCCCATGCGATTGCTGCCGAGGCAGCCGATCTTCCAGCCTGTCGGCCTCTACAAAAGCGTGACGTATGGTAAGCCAGTCGGTGATTAGTGGATGGAAGACCGACCGTATGGATGGCTGCCTGTCCTGTGGTTGTGTGGGCAGGCGAGTATGGTGAAGTGCTCAAGTGTGTGTTCTGCCGGATCGCGTCGGGCGAGGAGCTGCCGGCCAATGGGAAGGGATCTGTACTCTATGAAGGTGACGCACGACATTCTCACACGAGCACCTACGTGATGGATGATGCAGTTTGCTTGCTGTTCCTGCGTTGCTGTCTGTCTGTCTGTCTGTGTCTGCTGCAGATGAGTCTGTGATCTCCTTTGCTCCACGAGAGCCTGCTTCTCTCGTCCACATACTGGTGAGCAGGCACCACCACATGCAGCCACACAAACAGCCTTGTGTGTATGCAATTTTTCCCTCAGGTCTGTCCGAAGAAGCACATCAGAAACTGTCGGACGCTCGACAGCTCCCATGTGCCCCTCCTCGACCACATGAGGCGAGTGGGGCAGCAGGTGGCAGCTGACGAGTTTGCAAAGACGCGAACCAGGAAGAAGGGGAGTCGGTCGCATGATTCGATGGCGGGGACGCCCTTCGACGACCGCCTCCAGTTCAGTTTCCACGCGCCGCCATGGCATTCCGTGGATCACCTGCATTTGCACTGCTTCGTCAAACCGTTTATCTCCCCTGTGCTATGGGTAAAATATCGCCAGGACACGGTGGGCACCGCTAACACACGACACGTTGTCTGCCGTGATGTGTGGGTGCTGGTCTCATCCCTCCCTGTGTGTGTGCAGTCATGGTGTGTGTCGTATGATGCCATACGCAGCGAGGCCGAGAGCATTGCCGCGGCTGGTGAAGCCACCACCGCCGCCACCACCACCACCATCGGTGAAGGGTCGAGAGAGCCAGCCGAGTCAGCGGGTGAGGGAGCTGCTGCTGGTGCTGTTTCTAGGGGTGGAGGTGGGGAGGGTGCAAGACGCCAGCCCTCTGTGGGGAGAGAGTGGGGGAGGTGACAACTTACGCTAGTTGATTAATTAAGGGGCGTGTCGTGTAGAGGGATAGTGTTGCCTGGCCTGGTTGTATATATGGTGGGTGGATGATGGAACGGGTGAATGCATTGCATTCAGACATTCTAACAGACAGACGTAAGTAGTTTGAACGAGGGCCGCCGTATCGGAGCCTCTCGGCCACATATATGCACAGGCTGCACTGCACATACGCAATGTACACAGCGCAGCGCACGAACCATGACTTCCCTCAGTGCACCACTCTGACTATGTATAGCTCAACACCAGCCATCCCACACACATGCTGCCCATCCATCAGCTCAGCATTGCTCGCTCCATCACCATCACGCCCCCCTCACTCTATCCACCATCACGGTCTCACCCGCACTGGCCTTCCTGCGGTGCTGCCAGCCATCCCAAATCCGCCGGTTGAGAGACACTATAAACAGGGCAAGACACGCACCGAGCAATGCGCTCTGAAGACATCACACGCACCAACCTCAGAGGCACGAGATGGAGGAGAAGGCAGGCCTGTAAGTGAGATGTCTGTCAGACAGCCTACCATGGCCCAGATGAAGCCTCGGAAGTCGAGAACAGTTACTGTGGAGAAGAAGCCCCCGATGTTGCATCCGCCTGCAGACCCAATCCATCCATCCATCCACGTGTTCCTCCCTGTGCTGGTCAGTGTACCTGCCATGCGTGCCCCTTGCCCCATCATGAGCCCTCCAGCCACATTGTAGAGCAAGGACGATGGCGACTCCCGAATGGACCGCCATGACTCCCGCCAGCTGCTGATGAACTTGGGTGTCGATTCGCACATTACTGCTGATTTGTCCGATGGGATGGAAACGGCCACTTGGCGAGAGGCCACCTTAGCAGCTGCTGAGCGGGCCTCCACCGATGCACTTGTATCGCCTGCGTTGGGTCGGTCGGCCTCCCCGTCGACCGAGTCCTGGTCTCTCTGATCAGCCGTTGCAGCCACATCAAGCGAATCGTTCCCGCTGCTTGACTCGCCGGCTCGGTCGTCTGATGTGAGGCTCTGCTTCCCAGTGGATGCGTCGGCCGTCTCGACTGTCGGCGTGGTGATGAAGAGAGCAGCAATGAGGGAGCCGCAGAACACCCCGAAGTCAGAGGCCGCTATGGGGTGTGTGAGGCCCTCGATGGGCTGCGGCCGGCCGGGACAAGACGCGCCAAAGAAGCCCCATCCGCATGGCTGACCACCGAAGAGGGGGATGATAAGAGAACCCCATAGAGCATAGGCATAGGTGATGCCCCACGCCCCACCGGACACCAGAACCATCACAGGATTGAGCACGCCGATCAAGAGAATGGCGCGTCCCCTCGTCAGCGGCATCTTCCACCACCCATTCCGCCACTCGGCAACCGATCTTCGCGACAGCCAGGGACAGCAGCACAGGACCGGAATCTCACCCCCATCGACAAACAGGTCGCTGCTCGTGGTCATGCTGCCCTCCCTCCGTGTCTTCTTGCTGTCCTTGCCGGCCACATGCGGGAGAGTGAGATGGGTGGCCACGTAGGCAATGCCGATGAAACCCACGATAAGCAGCCACTGGTAGAGGATGGCATCAGGCCAGTTGACCCACACTGCCGACGACAGAGCACTCCATCGCTCTTTACTCCAGGCGCCAAGGACACTCCCGACAATGAAGAACACCAGAGTGACGACCGCCTTGGCTGACCCCGCTGCAGCCGTGTACAGCACCCCACTGCCACAACCTCCTCCAAACTGCATACCGGCACCAAACATGAACGAGCCGACGAGGTGATGCGTCGAGAAGAGATGGCCGCTCTTGCCCCCCTCCAGGCCAGCCAGTGCAGCAAACAAGGCAAAGAGTGTTGAGCTGATCAAGATCAGATGTAACAGAGGCCGGAGAGCGCTGAGAGAGCCCTGCGCAACATGCCTGCAATACACTCACCACGCACAGGAGTCGACCGCTGCACTGCGGATCTGATGCATTTTCATGTGTTTCTTGCCTGAATGGCATGGTGAAGCTGAGAGAAGATGCCGACAGGATGATGCCGAAAGCCACGCCAAACATGAGCTGGACGAGTCGTTGAGCCTCAAAGAAGCCGAGAAGGAGCGAGAAGGCCAGCAGCAGCAACACGGCCCCTGACCTCAACGCAGCCAGTTGCCTCGACGCACGCATGGTTTCGGCGCCCGTTGACGCAGGCGGGTCACCCACATGACTGATTCATGTGTGGCAGAGCGAGGGATGCAGCCGGACATCATTCTGGTGGAAGAGCCGCCTGAAACTACACAGTGGCATTGATGACAAGCGTCAGGGCTACGCGACCAGCCCCCTTTCATTTCAACGAAGGCAGCGGTTTCGCGAGAGAGCTTGAAGCCATCGCGAGCTTGCCTCCATCCGGAGAAGAAACGAAAGGTACGAGAGAACGTTGCTGCGCACACAGACAGAGATGGTCTGATCTTTCGTTTCGCTGTGTTGTCAGCCGTGATGGAGTACGAGGTGTATCTTGGTGTGAACCTGATAGGAGCTGCCGTAATGGTGCTCATCTTCTTCTTCCACTACGTGGCCTCCGACCCGCCAAAGGACCTCGTCGAGTAGACCACGGCGCGACCACTGGCAGCAGGGAGGCAGGCAGGTACCTAGGTAGGGAGGATGTCTGATAGCGTGTACACGGACGGCGTGGTGCGGAAAGGGCTGAAGCTCAAGGGCGGCGAGCTGGCCGTGAAGGGCAAGAAGAAGAAGAAGCGCAAGGCGGAGGAGATCTCACAACAGCAGGACACCGACAGGCAACACCGAGACCAGGACCGAGACGAGGATCAGGACGAGCAGCACCAGGACAAGAAGCACGAGGGGGAGGGGACCACCAACGCCGCCAAGGACGTGGAGCGGCCGCCGGCCATCGATGACGAGGAGGAGGAGGACACCCGCACCGAGGCTGAGAAGGCCTTTGCACTGGCGCAGGAGAAGCGGGCCAAGGACCGGGCGGACAAGCGCATCGAGCTCAGCCACAGGCAGCGAATCGAGAAGTTCAACGAGCAGCTGGGACAGCTGAGCGAGCACTTCGACATACCCAAAGTCGGCGGCTGACTGACCGGGGGTCTCTGTGGGCGGGGCGGTGTGGTGTGGTGGGAGAGAGGGGAGGGTTCGCGGGAGGGGTGGAAGGACTATGTACCTGTTCGTTCATGCTGCAATGAGCCTTTGTCTTTGCAGTTTTCACTGTCTATCGCTGAGTGCGGGTGGTGGGCTGATCGGCCGCCTATTTGCTCTGGGGGAACCTGCTTCAGCTGCTCTCTCTCACTGGTCCTCACCGCCAGTGATGGAGGGCTGCTGGGGAAGGCGCTGGCACCAGGGCAAACAGGCGGCCGGCCACATGTGGGTGGATGTGTGTGTGTTGTGTGCCGTTGATAACTCGTAATAGCTGGCTGCATGGTGGGACAGAGAGACGCCACCTCGATGCATCCATCGTTGATGTGATGCAGCGCTAATTAAACTGAGGCAGGCGGGCTGTGGTGTGGTGTACTGCAGTGACTGTCATTCCTCCCTCCCTCCCTCCCTGGGCGGCGTCGCGTACAAATATGATTTCATTCATTCACGCATTCATTCATCGCACACACGGAACACGCAGTGCACGTCTGCAAGGGAAGGGATCGAGTCAACACGCGGTGACAAATGTCCATGGATCATACTCATACAACTGAAACACAGGCGCCGCGCCCCGGGGACACACACTCATGGAGAGACACACAGACAGAGAGAGAGAGACAGACGCAGACACAAACTGGACTCCAAAATGCACTCGCCCGCCCATGTTCATCCATCCATCCATCCGTCCGTCCGTCCATCACTCAATGCGGCCAGCCGGCACTGTGCTGTGCAGCTAGCTGAGTGATGCACTCACTCTTGGTATCACAGAATGGAAAAACGGTCACACACACATAACACACCCCTCTCACGCACCCTCCATCCATCTATCGTTGGCTGCAATCCGTGTGTGTGTCTGCAATCAAGGGCCAACATCCCCCACCCTACGGCCTCCCCTCAGTGCCGCCTGCCCTGTCGACGTTCTCTCTGTGTCACCATGGCGTGACCCGCTGGCGCCTCTGATCTTGCCGGCATGCTTGTCGAGCAGCTGGGCCAGCATGGGCGGTGCCTTGAGGGATACGACGGCGTCGGTGCCGGTGGTGCCGGTGGTGTGTCTCATCATCCGTGCGATTCTGCCGCACTTGCCCCCTGGTGTGGGATTGTCCATGATGGGCAGCGGGTGGGCCTCGGTGTTGAGGACGAAGCGGTCGAGGGGCAGGGTGCGGCGGGGCGAGAAGAGCAATAGCAGGTACTTGAACGTCTCGGCTAAGCAGAAGGTGTGCATCTTGTCTCGCGGATGCACAGGCATCTGCATCCAGAAAGACAACAAGGCGTCCGGTGGATGTGCTCTTGTCTTCCCTCCCTCCCCCCCTCCCTCCCTGCCTTTCCTTGACGGACGGACGGACTGACCGTCTGTACATTATCGACAGAGGCAAATCCGTGCGCCACCTTGGCGTTTGCGACGGTCGCCAGGAATATCCGCCAACCCCAATTCCGCCACCTCAACCCATACCTATCCACATACTCACGGTCCTCTACATCACGCCGCCTCCTCGCACCCTCGATGCTCTCCAGCGTGAACAAGCCGTCGCTCTCCGTGCCTGTCGGGGGACGGGGCGGGGGGTGAGTGAAGTAGTCGGGGTGCGGCGCGAGCTCGGCCATGTAGAAGAGGGACTCCAGCGTCTCAGGCCGCAGCAACGAGTGCATCGAGCCGCTGTCGTCCGTCATGTCGTCATGAGAAAAGCGAACTATCTCAGGCGCCAATCCTGCACACAAACCGGTGGCAGCAGGGAGAAAGCTGATGCTGTCTGTGTGCGGGTAGTGCTCGTCTCCCTGTCTGTGTCTCCCTCACCCGATTTGGTCCTGAAGTACATGGTGACACACGTCTTGGTGAGTTCATCTGCCAATCGTTCCAGGTAAGCAGCACCCCCCTCGTCGATACTGCTGCAGGGGCCACTTGCCGGCGGGAAGGATGCCATGTCGCACTTCGGTGGGCTCTTGGACGACGGCTGGACAAACCCGCTGCGAGCAATGAGCATCAGCAGGCCCGGCAGAAAACACACCTGAAGAACGAACCAGTGACTGCTGCTGGTGTGTGTCATGCGCCTCCCTCCCATCCGCACTCACCAAGTGGTCCATTTTGGCGATCTTTGAGCCTTGAAGTTCCGCCACGTAGACGAGCCCCCTATCATGGTAGGCAATGCCGCCCTCAGCCTCGCCCCAGGTCGCCGACATGGACCCCTGAGGCAGCTGGGGCGGCTGTGCCGTGTGCGATATGGTGTCGGCCAGCTTGCGTAGGAACCCGGTGACCATCGACTCCAACAACTTGTCGCGACGGCCTGTGGTGGGTGGCAGCACAACACAACAGGCCGACAGACAGGAGACGACGGGTGTGGTCTAATGAGGTCTGGTGTGGTGTGGTGTGCATCGCCTTGACTGCAGTACTGACCGGTGAGGATCCACTCCTTTGCCAAATACTCATACACACTGTCGCCCCTGGCTCCCAAGGAGATGATGCCCCGCTGGGTGGCGAGTGTCTTGGGGTCGAGGAAGATGGGGGCCAGGCCCGTGACGCTCAGCTGCCGCTTGCGCTCAATCAGCTCTACCACAGCGTCCGCAGCCTCGGCGAACTGGCAGTCGCCAGAAGCCTCTGAGAGGGTCTTGAACTCCAGCGTGATCGTGCCGATCTCTAAGAGACACACATGACAGGACAGGACAGGACAAGATGTTCCGACTCCCTACAACCGAAATTGCATACCAGATAGAGAGGTATAGCCCGCCAGATGCTGCCTGTGGCCGCTGTGGAGCTTGATGTCCGATGCGGGCGGGCTGTCGAGCCAGAGAGGCCCCTCACCCCACTCCCTCTTCTCCTCCCCGTCAGCAGCCCTCGTCCCCTCCGGCACCGCCTTCAACAGCCGACCGCCCAGCGACTTGGCCTCATCCAGCAGCCGATCCAGGCACTCTTGCCTTGTCTGGAGGGAGCCCGGCGTCTGCAGCAGGTAGTAGGTGGACAGGAGGCCTCCCAGCTGCCTTATGGTCGTCTCGAACAGGTTCACGTTGACCTCCTTGTCGTAGGTGAGTTTGGTCTTCAGCCAATCAAGGGCTCTCGCGGCCACGTCCGGGAGATCGGCGAGGAGAATGGTGTCGAGGGCATCGACAATGAGGACACCGAAGCCGCCCCACGCGTCGTCGCCCAACCCGCTGATGGGCTTCAGCTCGTCACGGCCGAATGCGTGCTCCTCGTATTGATGCCATGTGAACTCGATGGCGTCCCTCACCGATCGCCGCCTCATGGCGTTCTCGCCGTCGAGCCAGTTGGAGAACGAGAGACAGCGATTGGACAGTAATGGGCACTGCTTGAGGTCCACAATGGCCGAGAAGGCTTCGCACTGTGCAAGGGATGCGCTCCACAGGTCCTCTTCCGAGAGGTAGGCTGACATGTGGGCGGAGCACTTCTGTGCGCGGTGGAGGTCCGCAGGTCTCAGGTCTCGCCTGGCGACGAAAGCAGGAGGGGGCCGTGGCACCTCTCTCCTCTCCTCGCCCGACGATGCACCCTTGTCAGCACCCTTGACACGATCGCCGTCGGTGGCCGATGCGGACCTGGTGCCCAGCTGCCACTGTGCGCTTGGAGATGCTGCCTCGCCAGTGTCCCCTTGCCCCCGCCCCCAGCCCGGCCACACCACCCCAAGGTTGAAGAGCAAGTTCAAAAGCACCACAGCGACCAAGACAAACACCAACATGATGCGGCACTGGGACCTCCACCAGAGCCATCCCCTCTTGCGGCAGCCCATCCATCCCTCACCTCCCTTGGCCTTCGTCGGCAGCATATCGCACGAAGACGGCAGCGCACCCTCCGAGTCCGACTTGCGCTCACATGCCCGTGGGGTCTTGCCTCGTCTTGTGGCAGAGGACGCCCAAGTAGGCAGGAGGAAGCTGCGTATCCACCTTGACGCTGTCCTGTCGTGATGGTGGTGGGTGATGCCGCGGGCCAAGGGGATGGTGGACGAATCAGTACGTGAGAGGGAGGGTGTGTCGACGGTGGATGGGGCCTCAGAAGACAGGGCGGGCAGGGAGGGAGGGACGTAGGGGAGCGGGGGCTCGGACGGGTGGCTGGGCAGCAGGGGTGACGCTAACCGTAGCCATCCAGGAAAGGGCCACCAGCCCCTGGAACCATCGGTGGACTCGTCACTGACGCTGCCATCAGAGGCGCTCATCTTCCACCTGACAGCAGCAACAACACATCAGATACGTGTGTGCGTCTCATTGTCACCCCTGCTGGCCTTCACGAGCGCTGTTGGCTCACCTTCAAGATAGAGATGGAAGAGGGATAGGGGAGGAAGCACTAGGGAGGAAGAGGGCGGCCAGCGTATGGGCTGGGCACACTCCCCCGCTGCCTTCACATCGGAAACAACCCGCCACCGCTCTGTACGAAGCACGTTTTTGAAAATGTGTTTACGCACGAGCATGGCCTAGAGCATGGCGATCCGTGAAACGCTGACGGCGAGGTGTGCCAGCATAGCATAATTGCGAGAGATGGCGTCGTCATCGAGTAGCAGCGACGACCCCTCAGGCGCCGTGGACTACCTCCAGTCCACCGTCGGGCAGCTCCTGACCGAGGCCATCGCTGCCGTAGCCAAAGAGCGGCCTGTCGATGCCGTCGCATTCCTCTCCACATGGCTCCGCACACACGCCAAGGAGCACGTCAAGGAGCCCTCACGGCCGCCCAAACCACCCGCAGAGGAGCCCTCCCAGCCATCCCAGCAGCTTCCTGCCGAGGATCTGACTGCTCTGGCGGTGGGTCCGGTCTTCCCGCCCACGCCCTGGAGCCCCTGGCCCAACCCCGAGGTCACTGCACTCTCGGAGTTCCTCTCGACCGCCCAGTGGGTTGGTGAGGGTGCCTGGGAGAAGGCCATCGAGTGTGTGGAGAAGACCACCAACGCCACGGGCGTCTATGTGGGCCTGTTCGACACCGACAGTGAGGGCATCGACACCGCTGCCACCGAGGAGGAGAAGGCCGCGCCGGTGGTGCGGTACGTGCATGCCAGCGCATCGCACAAGGGCCTGGTGGGCACGTGCCTGCCGCAGGGGCAGGGGGCCACATGGCGCGTGTGGGAGAAGGTGGTCGCAGAGGAGGGTCAGGAGGAGGAGGAGGCCCCCGAGGGCCAGGCCTCCAAGTCCAAGGGCCGCCCCTACCCATCGGTGTACGTAGAGGACGTGCTCGACGCCACCCCGCCCCTGCAGCCCATCAAGTTCTTCGACATGACCCGATTGGGCTCCTTCATCGCTGTCCCCATCGTCTATCAGTCGTGCATCTCCCCGGCCGGCATCGACATAGCAGTGGAGCACATCAAGGCCGTCAAGGAGCGCGACGCCAAGCTCGCCGAGCTGCGGGCACAGCGCGCCGAGAAGGAGGCAGAGGAGGCCGAGAAAGCCGCCGAGAAGGAGGCCGCTGGTGCAGGGGCAGGAGAGGAGGGCGGTGCAGAGGGCGGCGGGGAGGGCGAGAAGGAGGGCGGCGAGGCGGCCATGGAGCCCGAGGAGGCCGTCCCGGAGATCCCGCTGCCCGAGTTGCCGGGTGTGGAGGTCAAGTACGCCCTGTGTTTGGACACGTTGGGCCAGTCGAGGCCCCTGCCCTCATCCGTAGTGGGGTGCATAGAGGAGATAGCCGACAGTGTGGGGGAGGCGCTGCGCCGCACCGAGGAGGCCGCCGTGTGGGAGGCCGCCAAGGAGAGGGAGGAGGGGTGGGTGGGGGCGGCGCAGGAGGCCGTGACCAAGGGGCTGGAGGTGGTCAACGAGGTGATAGAGGAGGGCGAGAAGGAGGCCATGGCTAAGCTAGAGGAGGCGGGGGTCGCTGTGACGGACGAGGCCAAGAAGGTGGCCTCACTCAAGGCCCACTACCAGGGCATGGCGCAGCTGCTCAAGCACCTCCAGACGCACCTCCTCGAACTCGCCACCAACAAGATACCGTAAGTCAGCCACACCACACCACACCACACAACACAGACACGCATAGAGAGATCAGTGTGCAGACCTGTCGGTTCCCTCATTCCCCGTTCTCCTGTTGTGCTTCTTAGTGAGAGTTTCCACGTGCCGATCGTGTCGACGGCATTGACGGTGCTGGGCCACCCCCCGTCGGCCATGTCGGTGCCGGGCAAGACCAAGCCATCGTGGGAGCCCACCCGCGCCCTCTGGGGCGAGCAGCCCCTCGCCGACCTCATCGCATACGACCCCACGGGCGTCAAGACCTACACCCACCCCACACAGCGCATCGCCAAGATAGCCGCGGCCGTCGAGGCCTTCCCGACCATCGAGGACATCGACAAGACCCACCCGCCCCTGGGGGCCCTCCACCGCTTCCTCACGGCGTTGGTCAAGGTGCGGCAGGCGGACGTGGCCTGGCGCAAGACCCTCACCGACAGCAAGAAGGCCCTGCTGGCGGAGCAGACGGACCTGCAGGCCAAGATCAAGGCCAAGGAGGAGGACAAGAAACGCAAGGCCGCCGAGAAAGAAGCCGCCAAGGCAGCTGCCGCGGCGGCCGCTGAGGGCGGTGAGGGTGAGAAGGAGGGCGAGGGCGAGGGCGGTGAGGGCGGTGGTGCTGCCGAGGAGGAGGAGGGCAAGGAGGAGGGTGAGGAGGAGGGCGAGATGCCCGAGCTAGTGGACCTGAAGGCGCTGGAGAGCGAGATAGCCGAGATGGAGAAGGACGACGACCTGCAGGACATCTAAATAAAGAGATACAAACGGTACCTACACAGACAGACAGACAGACAGGGAGGGAGGGAGGAAGGGATTGACGGAGGGAGGCAATGGCACACGACGGTCGCACGAGTGTGTGTGTGTGTGTGTGTGTCAGGGTACTCTTTTCCTGCCGTAGCTGCTATCTATCCATCTATCCATTCACCCACCCATCTATACATAGATACGATACGTGTATTCATAAGATGAACGTATGTGTGCTGTGCGTGTTGGGGGCAATGGGGAGGGAGGGGGGGAGGGAGTGTGTAGAAGCAAGCCACGCAGGGCGCCGACCCACTACTTACTTGACCGATCTAGCCACCGCCATTTCCTGCTGGCTGTCTGCTGCATAGGTAGCACTCCGTGGATGGATGGACGGATGGATGGACGCGTAGACAGACGTGCACACGTTTGGATGCGTGGATGGCCTGGCATTGCCTGGTCGAGACCTTCTGGTTGCTCGTGCCGTGTGTCTGTGATTTAGATGACTAGATCGACCGCCTGACCGACATTCTGTGCGTGCAGCCAGCAAGTGAAATCAAGCGGCTTTGCGTCCGTACTTGTCCCTCGACCATCCGTCCGTCTCACATCCCCCGCACGCACCCCCACCACAGTCACTGCTGAAGCCACACACACCCTAGAAGGACAAGCTGGGTGGCATCACGCTTCTGGCGATCAATTTCGTGCGAACAAACAAGCACAACCACACGAAGAAAGACAGGACACCACTGGGCGCATGAGTCGGTCCGTCCGTCCGTCCATCCATCGCGGGACTACCTTACAAACACCACCAGGATGTCGCAAGGCCTACCATCCATCCATCCATCCACATCACTCTCTGTCTGTCTGTCTGTCTGTCTGGCGTGTGTGGTGTCTCTTTCCCGTTTCCCTCCCTCCCCCCACTTGTCCATTAGAAAACATCCTGCAAGGTGGATGTATGTGACAAGCAGCAGCAGCAGCAGCGGAATGGATGGAGGTATATATCGACACACCAGCCAGCCCCCTTTTCTCCCCACCCACCCACTGACCCCTCCAGCAGGCGGATGAACCTACCTCCACAGGTGGACTCTGTACGACGGATGAGATGGAATGAGACGAGATGATGCGGTGTGATGTAGTGACTCAGTCCAATGCAATCAATGCAATGCACACACTCAAAAACAGACAGCCGGACGGCGCACGTGACATGACGGACTGCACATACATACATACACATGTCTCTCTATCTGCTTTTTCTTGCCTTTTCTTGCCTTGCCTTGCCTTCAATTACGCAGAGACGCAAACCACCCACATATCCCTACACACCCACAGCCTACCTGCGTACCTGCCTACCTACGCGCCAAGAGAGTACGGATATGTCTGGGTGTGGCTGGCTAGACGAGTGTCAGTATGTCCGAGTCGTCACTGGTGGTGAGCAGGTGCGTCACTTGCCTCTCAGGGAGATCCACCTCATGCTCCTCCCATCCCTTGTACTGGAGAGGAGACACACACAACAGGACAGGAGAGAGACACACACACAAGAACTCCACCTGACCGTCTCACGGCCTCACGCACTCAGTCAATGAACCAATCACCTGTGGCGAGCTGCAGTCGACTTCCATGCAGTCGGCCACCATCAGCTGTCCTTGCTCGGTGCGCCGCATCCTCTTGACCCCCCTGCACACCAACCCTCGCTGGACCGATGACGAGCCGCCCATGGCAGCATCAGCGTCGCCATTGTCACTGGCTTCACCCGGTGCTTGTGTGGCCTCTGCTTCCTGCTCTTGTGGCGCCTCGGTGGCGGCCTGCCGTGACAGGATGCCCTCGAGGGCCGCTGGCGACAAAGGCTCCTCTATCTCCCGCCAGTTGTCACCAGAATACCTGTGTTTGTAGACACGGTTGTGGGCATGCACAGGGGAGGGGAGGGTGTGGTATGGTGTGGTGTGGTGTGTGAAGATCATCGGTATCTACATCAATTACATACTCTGGTAGTGAGCAGTCGGCGGCGGTGCAGTCCACCTCCACGAAGCCGCTGGTGAAGGGGCTATTCTTGACCTTTTTGAGCCGGTGACACTTCAGACCCCTCATCTGACGCACCAGATCCTCCTGAATGAATGAAGGCCGAAGAACATACAGACAGGCATGGGAGCGGCCAATTGCCAATTGCCCCCGGACGTGGCGCGCGTGGTACCTTCTTCTTCTTGATGGCGTCGCCCTCTGGGTCACGCCAGCAAAACATCAACACAGACAGACAGACAGACAGAAGCAGCTAGTACACCCGGCGACGCACACCCCACCACCCACGTGCTTACCGCAAGTGAATCTAGCGGTGCAGGTCACTTCCGCCGCCAGGGAAGTGACCAGGCCATCTATCTCAATGTCATAACCTGCACACACACGGACAGATGAGCCCATTCCCATCGACCGACTCATCCCCTTAGGTAACCCCCCTACCTATGGCGAATGTGATGTTTCGTTTCTCCGTCGTGCCGCTCACAGCCCTGTCGAGGCACTCGAGCCCTAGAGAGCCGCCGGTGTCGCTGGATCCGTCCAGTAGGGTGACCTCCTCCGCAGGCTACACAAATCAATCAATGTACCAGTGAGGGACAGACAACACCCGCCACATGGCTGGCTGGCTTGCTGACCTCGAAGAATATCTTTCTGCTCTTGAGCTGCTGCGCCAGCCTGAGCTTGCCGTCGGAGCCCGGCAGCGGTGCGGCGGCCGTGGCCGTCTCCCCGCTGCCAGCGGTGCCGTCATAGACCTTGAAGCTCGTTGTCAGTACTCCTGTGATGCTGCTGAGGTAGCTCTGGTGTATCCTGATGAAGTTGCCGCGACCACTGAGTGTGTGGATGGCCGAGCCGCCCACAGGGGCCTTGAGGTTGAGATGCCGTGCCGGCGGGCAGCTCACACGCACTGGGGATGACACACGGGACACGGAAGCAGACACACAATTTTTCGTTCTTGTGCCGTGGTGGCACACGCACCGGGGTCACGTTCGGGCGTTTTCACAGCTGCGTCAGCCTGCTGCGCCACACCTGCCGAGAGAATGACGGAAAGGAATCGACGAAGAGCATCAGAGGACATCTGATTTGTGGGCCTACCTGAGGAGAGGAGGGTCAGCGCAAAGGCCCCCGCGCACACGCACCTCCACATCATCGCTGACGCCGCGTACTATTATTTTGGCGACCGTTGGGTACGACTGCTAAGCATCTATTCTTGAGGTACCTGCGTGTGTCCGTCCGTCGGTCCACCATTATCACATGATGACACGTTTGTATGCAATGCCGGCCATAGAGGGACAAATTGTGCACCCACACATCATGCATGATGCAGACACGCATTCACACACCACACCACCCATGCATGCCATTGGCATGTATGTCACCTACATCACACACATTGCCATCCTGTCTGTACCAATCGAAATCGACACACACACCGACGAGCGAAGACAGACAGACGAGTCAGCCAGCCAGTCGAGCGAGCAAGCGATCCAGAAAGGCCTAGCGTGCAGCCAGCGTGTGGAGAGTCCAACGTGAGAAGAATACGACAGGCAGACAGACAGCCAGACACGACAGAGAGAGCTGAAAAATCTTAGCAGCCAGCCATCCATCCCTTGTCACTCACTGGCTGGCACTGCACACGACACGTGACGACACCCATGGGGAATGACTGAATGGGAGCCGCGATGCGATCGGCTGCCCCTTCTCTACACCTCACCTCGCCTCACCTGTCCTCTCCTGTCCTCTTCCCCTGCTCTCGGTAGGTAGGTATCCTCTCCCATCGCCCACAACGGCACCGCACTACGTCTACAGTGCATCGCTCTCTGAGTGTGTTGGTAACTACACGTGTGTGTGTGTGTGTGTGAGTGTGTGATGGCTGCAGTGCACTGACTGATATCAACAGGTGGGTGAGTAGCATAGCGTGACGGATGACTGTGACTGACTGACGTGATAGGTGGCATGGTGGATGGCACGCAATGCAATGCAGCGCATCAGCGCATCAGCGACGTCCAGACAAATCGACGCGCATACAGCCACGACACACAGCGACACACAGGCAGACGGGCAGACAGACAGACAGGCATGCAGGGAGAGAGCGACACTAGCTAGCACTTGACACGTAATGGAATGGTACCAACGCATTGATGCTGGGAGGGATGGATGTGTGGAGGGAGCTGCCTGCCCATCGGCGTGTGAGAAAGACGGTGGTGGCCATACCACACATCCACAATGATGCGACAAAGACAGATGGAGGCGAGGCGAGTGAGACAGTCCGTGAGCATAGCTGGGCGACAGACAAACGACCGGGCGGGCGGGCAGGGGCAGGGCCACTACAGCCATCGGTCCGACAGGCCGGCCCTGCACTGCCCCGCCCTTGTTGCCACGCCAGCTCTCCGAACCAATCGGCAGACAGACAGACAGTATCCTCAAGACAGACAGACAGACAGACAGCCATTCATCTACAGGGCAGGCCCACCTCTCTCTGACCGCGTCAAAAATCTACCGTCAGACCTTCCTTCCTTTGCTGCAGGCCGTCATTGGCACCTCACCTGCCCTGGGCCGTCCCCCTCCCTCTCTTTCGTGTAAGTAAAGATCCACCCATCCATCCATCCATTCATGCATTGTTTCGGACAGACGCACGCCACGCCCTCCCTCACCGGCTCGCTCACGCACACTTGCGCGTCCATTCACACACACGAACACAAAACACACATGCACCACACCACCACCACCACCACCCATAGCAGTAGTAGTATTGTTTGTCGCCATTGCAAAATGGAATTAGATCGGGAGGACACTAGTAAAGAAGGAAGACAACACACACACATGGATGGATGGATGGATGGATGATGGATGACGCCCTTTCTTCTATGCAATTAACACGCACACGCACACACGCACACACACACACATGCACGGGTGCATCGTTCGTCCACTCATTCACTCGTCCATTCGGCCAGCCGGCCAGCCTTGCCTTGTCTTGTCTTCCGCCCATCGGTCAGGTCAGGTACCTCATCCATCCAAGCCATCGCCATTCATTCAAGCCGTAAAAAATGCTAATGCCTGCCTGCTCTCACATTGATGCGTACCGATGCGTCCAGCCAATTTCCCACCACCCCAAAGCCACCCACCCCACGTCCGCCCAACAACGACAGCAAAAAGGAATTGCATTTCACTCCATCCATCTAACACACACACGCCTGTCTGTCTGCCGCCCGTCGCACGTCTTGAAAACAGACAGACAGCCATTGAAACGACTGACTGTCTGGGGCGGGCGAGTCTAGATGGACACAGACAGACAGAAGGGCTTTAGAAAACGCCAAGTAACCAGAAGGCCGTGCTGCGTGCTGCATCCTTCGCTGCCCGTTGCCATGGTTTGCCTCCGCCGTGTCTGGAAAAATCCATGTGCTGCGCTGGGCTGCGTATGGGGCAGGCAGGCAGGCAGGCAGGCGGGCGAGGGTCTCTCTGGCACGGGCGTCAATCCATCTATCCATCCATGGAAAGAAAAGGGAGGGCATCTAGTAGGCAGTGAGTGATATAGTGGTTGAGTGAGTTAGAAGCGTTAAGGTCATTTCGCAGGAAAATTTCGCGAAAGAAATGTCGGTGCCGTTAGCTTAGCATGCTGTCCATCCATCCATCCGTATGTAGGCTCCCCCCC